GTTCGGCGGGTCCAAAATGGCCACCAGAACAGCTGAAATGGGCGCGTGCAGCGTTTTCGCGCCCTCGGTAAGCGAGGGGAGGGCGCGAAAATGGCTGCCAGCCATAGGAAAACATCGCTGAACGGTGAGTTTTCGGCCCATTTGGAACGCATTAAACTATGGATTTTCTTGATCCGTTCAGCGATGTTTTCACATAGCGAGGCACCACTGTATAAGATTTCCTCATTTTCATTTATATGTTTACATGTTTGCTGCCATCTGGTGGACCCTTTCATGAAGAACTGAATAAATGACACATCACTAAATCACTCTGGATAAAATTTCTTTCACACATCACAGAACCATTGCAGAATATTTTGATCTTTTTTTGAAAAAAAATTTAACTTGTAACACAGTAATTCAGCTCAACCTTTACCATTAAAATATGCCCAGAGAGGTTGACATAGATGAAAAGCCAGTCTGAGCTAAAGGTAAAATGGTGGACATGGAAAAGCAGATTGATTCAACCATGGAAAATGAGTAACTGCAAAGGGAAAACAGATTTTTGTTAGCATGTTTCACATGGACATCAAGAATGGCACAGTATGTTGCAGAACTAACTGCCTAAAGGGATTTAAACATCCTGTTAAACTGACCACAAGTGATTTAAAAGATACCTGGCTGCGGAGCCAGTGGTTAGGACTTTGACACCCCACTGTGCCTCCTTGACAGGGGCTCGGCTCAAAGATCCACGGGGTCCCTTCTTGCTCTGCAGTTCTAAGAGGATGGTGACAATGATGATCCCTTTAAATTTGTTTCAGACTTCAAGAAAAAATGGCCTTGGTTTTGAATAAGGCTATTTGCAGTGAAAGACAGCATAAGGGCACTAAAAGTAAATGAAAGATCCAGATATGAAATTGCTGAATGAGCTTGTCTTTCCATGGTTGCTAAGATCCCACGCTCGATGCTGACATTTCAGTGGATAAATTCTGGGCCCCGTTTTCTCATATTTTGAGGCAATAACATAGGATAAATTAAATCTAAACTGATTCCAGACAGAATAGCTCTTCTGTGTAAGAAAGCATGTTGTGATATCTCTGAGCCACCACCTTCGCTTTTTTTCCTGTAATAAATTCTAATTTCAAGTGCCACTTTGTACAGCAATCTGTATTTAAGTCCATGATCTCATGCTGCACAGCAGAACCAAGCGCACATAGCGTTATACCATGCTCATTCTCAAACCCAATGTTGAGTTTGTGTTGCCTTTTACATTCTCCATCTTAAGGAAACTGCTCTGGGCCATGTCTATTTTGTCTTTTACAGTGTGGCTATGATCCTACTGTTCATTCAACCAAATTCCCTAGTTCTTGCATTTGTGGAGTTTCTCCCCATCTTCCTTTTGAATGTTTTGGGCTGCTGTTTTTTAATTATTTCTCACTGACCCTGTTTTCTTAATGATTCTTTTCAAACCATGTTCACTATTTACCTCGTTGGCTAGTATTCTGCTGGTGCAGCATTTAAGGCTGATGAGGTTGTAAAGCATTAGTCTTTTATCTCCATTAATTAATTAATTATTTCCAGTTCCACCTGTGTGAGCCTTTGGGAGCTCAGGATTGGGGGAGGGGTGATCTTTAATGTCCAAACCCCGTCACTATTGGTCCCGGTCCCAGTTAGGAAGCTTACAGGCAGGACAGTTCCCTTTCGTTTCCCATCAAATGATATTCAGATTATGGAGGCATTATTTCATTGAAGGCACTGAGGTTTGTGGCTCTATCTTTCATATTCTGTCAGCCCATCTTACAACCTTCAAGGGCACATATGAATACAATGGTGGAAGGTTTGTGATCGAATCTGAGAGGTGTGTGCTTTTTTAAAAAATGACAAACACAAGCTGCATTTCAGTCAGCAGTATAGCCCTTTCTCTCCCATAGCCTCTTTCCTAGGTTATGATGCTATAACTGATGTCCTGTGTTGTTGTTCATCCCACATGCAAGTATGTGCTGCTGTATAGGTTGCTGGGCGAAGCAAATAGCAGTGTAGAAGTGAGTTTTCAACTTTAAAAAATTGTTGGGAGAATATTTTCTCCCTACCCACCATGGTTGCAGCCTAGTTTACCCTCAGTGATAGAGATTCTGCATAGGCCATGTGCCATCCTATCTAGTTTGGAATTAATCCTCTGGGAATCTTACAGTCAGTTTCTTGAATTCATTATGTATTGTGCAACAAAGGACTTTTGCCAGTCCTAATTTTTCTGCTAAGCAGACATGGAATTCTACTTTATGAAAAAGGAAGAAGTTCTTTTCTTTCTCTAACCCACCCCCCTCCAATCCCTGTGGTCACAGATCCTTGATTCTCCATACAGGAATGTTGTTTTACTGACATGTTGCAATCTGTGGTCCCCCCCCCCCGTCTCTAGTGAATTATTTTGTCATTCGAAGAAAGCTGCCACTCTGAATAAGATGGTGAAGCAACAGAGCACCATTTCTTTTGCTGTGAACTCTTCAAGCAGAAGTACTTCCTTCCAGTAAAAAGCATGATAACTTCATGGGGGATCATTCGTTCATTTTGTATCACGTGTAGGCCATCTTTCTCCTGGTGAGGGTGCCAATTCTAGACCAAATACGGGTGCAGAAATAAAGACAGCCAGCCAAGTGTTGCTTGGAGGAGAAGAGAATGTTTAGTCTATACATATGCATATGCGTAGGTGCTCACAAAGGGGAAGTCAGAATGGTCCAATTACAAATCTTATATACTTTCAACCTGAAACAAGGGGAATGTAGCGTAATTGCCAAATAAGGACCTTAAGCCAATTGAAACGATCCAATTAGCTAAAGCCCACTTTTTGCCTTGCTGTTCCAAATAGCAACAATTAGTGCATGCACAAAGTGGCGTCCACCTTTTGACCTTCATAATCAAGATGGCTTTGGTTTGGTTTACTGTCAAGGGGATCCAAGGCAGCTCACAATCTATACTAAATCTCATAATACTAAAAAAAAAACAAAAATTATGGATGAAAAAGCAATTAAACTACAATAATAATTCCAAATCAATTAATGAATGAATTAAAAGCACTTAAAACTTCCAAGGCAAACTTAGAAAAGCAAAATAATCAGGACTCAGGGATTCACATAGTTAAAGACTGCTTGAAGAGGTGAAACAGACTCTTGTGATCATCCATTCTCTGGGATAATTCACACACTATTGCAACTGATTACAAAGAAAAGCTTATAGGGGAAATATTCATTCTGTAAATAGCCCGTCCAGTTAACATTCATGTTACTCTACCACGGTTATTTTACCATTGTTAATTTATAGAGGTTCTTCAGTTTAGAGCACAAACTTCTACTAAAGACCTGAATGTCAAAGACACTATCATCACTATGTTTAACACCCACTGAAGAAGTGGATTGTAACCTACCAAAGCTGACACTGAAATAAATGCACTAATTCCAAATGGCGCCACAATACATTTGGTTTTATTTCATTTTTCATGCAACTTTGCTGTCATATGTATACTTGGTGTAAAGTTATGCCTTCCCAGCATCTTGCTCAGATGCAAAACAGGGAGAAATACAATCACAATAGCTCATAAGTAATTAAAGACCTCCAGAACATGACCAAACAGCCTGAAAAACCTACGACAACCATCGGTTGTTGAAAGCCTTTGAGAATACACATTCACATATAGTTCATGCCTTTGACTCCCTTTCTGTGCAGCAGAATCTTTGATCCATACTGCTTGAAGAGCCTGGTGTTTTGCATGTAAATCAGAGTGGCACGTTTTCTTGGGAATGAATAACTCATTGCTGACAATGTTTTTTAAAAATGTGTTTTAATAGCAGTGGTGGTAAGGGAAATTCCAATCTAAGTTAAGATTGCACCACAATTGCATCAGTTTGTGTCACTTTTCTTTGCTGTAGAAGAGTTGGCATTAACTTCAGAAATATTTGAACCACTTCCTTCTTCCCCCTTAAGCTTCATACAAGTACAGAGCAATAGCCAAACTAGAAGTACCATTATTAGCACAATTACTAATCCCATAAATGCAGATGCAAGGGGCCCAATTGCAACTATGGGGGTGGGGTGGGGCGGGGCTTTAAACCATCCTCTTCCTTGTGGTCCCAACCTGGACTACTACCCAATTTCATTTTTTATCTGCAGGTCACTGTGAGGATTTTGGCCTGGAGAAGGACAGGCTTTCAGCCCTGAACTCCTGATCTCCAGGGATTATTTTATGTGAATTGGAAGGGAGTTCACATAAATGCTTGTGAGTTCAGTTTAAAGAGTCTACCACTTTTCTTGATATTAAGTGCAAGCAATCTGGTTTCACTCTGGTACAAAAGTGGAGCCTTTCACAAAATCACAGAATAATGGAGTTGGAAGGGCTCTATAAGGCCATCGAGTCCAACACCCTGCTCAAGGCATGAATCCAAAATTTCCCTCCTGGGTAGACTTAACTTGTCTCCAAACATTAGTTAGCACCTAGCAAATAGGCGCCACACCATCATCTCATAATTTGAAACCACTGTTTGATCTCTCTTGTCAACCCTTTGAGGGGGACATGCAGACTTTCACATGCTACGTCAAAACTCCTGGCTTTACATCTCCTTTCTTATACTTTAATTATGACTTACAGACTTCATGACTACATCTCCCTGTGTCAATCTGTTGACATGCACCACCACCACCACCACCACCCCAATGCTGCCTAAGTGGGATTTTTAAATGGGTTGTTATGCATTATTGCTTTGACTGTATTTTTAGTATTGCTTTTGTCTACCATTTCCCAGAGTGGTATTTGTTCCTTTTAAATATCTGTAGGCACTATCTGTTGCACATGGGATCATGCAATTTAATATGCAAAATATAATGTAGATAAAGCTTTTTTAACTTCTGGCATGTAATGTGATTTTCCCTGCTTCTCTGAATATTAAGATATTTCAGGGGCATTTTAAAGTATTTCCTTATCGGAAGAAAACAACCAATAAATATGGTGCCTTTTCTAATAAATCATTTACATATTTACAGGCTGAACACATGGTTTTATTTATTTACACTACTCACAAGGAGAAGTAAAACTATTTAAAAGTCAATAGCAAAAGCAGATAAAGATCAGAGATGTGCATAGAGCAAAACAAATCCCATGGAATAAATAAAAGCAACTAAAACAGCTTAAAAGGCCTGGGAAAACACAATAGCCAGCAGCCCGTGCACTGCAGATGAAACATGTCACTCTGCACATACAGTTTCCATGATCTTCTCTCCTTCCTCAAACACAGCAAGCAGATGCTCCATTTGATTGCTTGAGTGCAGTTGCTCAGGTAATGGGAGGGGAAGCTGGCTGCAGAAAAGCTTCCACTGGCCTGAAACATATCACCCCCAATGCTTTAAGAAGGCATTGCATTTTTCACAAGGCGATAGAGAGGATGACCTCCTTGCACAAGGACTGAAAATACTCAGCAGGGGCCATAAAAGCAAGGGAATGACATATAAATGGAGAGTAGCAGAGAAATGCAGAAACAGAGAGGATGATCAACTCTGAATGAACTCATATTCTATCCAGATTTTCATTGTTTTGAAAAAGCAGGGACATTTTTTGTTCAATCTTGTCAGCTGCTGAACGCAAGTGAAGGTTTCTGAGCGTGGTAATTAAAGCCCCATAAGCACCTGTTATCCCCTTTTCTTGGTACCAAAGTTCTAATAGTTTTATTTTTGCTTCAGCAGCATTGTTTTGATTATCACTTTTGACTACTTCTATGCGACTGGATAACACACCCAGTTTCCGGACAAGCCTTAGGACATCTTCTAAGTTCATCTCTTCTGCAATGTCAGCAATGTGACTGCTTAAATCAATATCTAGAAGGGAAAAGTGGTGGAAATATAGTGAACATTAGTTTTTCTTTACACATGAATATGCAAATAACACCAACTATGTCAATTATCAGGCCTGTGCTAAATCATAAAGATGTGGACAAAGTTGCTGTAACTTTATGGCATGTACGATTTTCTCAGGTCCATTTTCACCCTCACAGTGTTGCTGTCCACCTCTTATTAATGTATTTATGTGCTATATTTACAGCTCTCTTTTCCACTCAAAAAATAGGGCTCAAGATGGCTTACGAATGTCTTAAAACAATAAAAACAAAGACAAGTAAAATCAAATTTAACTTTTAAGAATTAAATAAGCCATTGTAAAAATTAGTAACATTAAATAACTACATGAACACCATTAAAAACAACAAAGGATGTAGTTAAAAACTACACTGTGAGGCAGATTAGACATTATACGGCAGTCTAGAAATATATCATTTTACTTGCTTTGTAAAATCAGTCAGAATGGAAACAGATCAGAATGCTGAAAGGAGTACGCTCCACACTCTGAAAGCCACATAGAAGAAAGCTCTTGCCTACGTGCATGTTAGGCAGGCTTCTAGATCTGTTGATATTTTAAAGAGGGCCTCTCCTGATCATCTTAATGTCTGGACAGGCTCATAATGAGACAGGCTGCAAGCCATTTAGGGCACTGAAGGTTAAAACCAACACTGTGAATCGGACCTAGTAGGCAACTGGCAACTAATGCAGGTCTTCCAGTATCAGGGTGATACGATCACAATACTGGGGTCCAGCTACATGCATCTCCCATCTACCTTTAACTTGCACAGTCTTGTTTTGAAAAAATATGACCTGTTTTCCCTAAATATTGCTTAGGGAAACTAATGCTATATGGTAAAAGCAGTAGCATTTAATTAGACAATGAAAACTTTAAAAAGCATAGAGAAGGCAAGATAAAAACATATATGATGAAAAAAAGAGCACAAGTAATAGCATCAATGTAATGACGAGTAATTATCATGTTACATATTCTTAAAATGGTGCAGAAACAAAGAAGTTACTGTGACTAGAAATGTATTTGTAAGACATTGGGAAATGACTGTTTTGTACCTGGGTACTTTAGCGGCACCATCTCCTAAAATGACACAAGAGGGGAAAAGGTGAATGGAAACAAAGCAGCCACAGCATATGATTTTTCTCAATGACACTACTGGCACAAGGTCTCACTAGAAAGTACTGTACTGTTTACAGATATTTAGGCAGGCTGTTCAATACTTCTTTGCTCCAAAAAAAGTTAAACTGCACACTGTCTGAGATGGAGCTACCACCAAAAGCAGCACCATCGTGTTTGAATTCTTTCCCACTCCCCCATGCCAGCTAAGATGTGTTACACTCTGTCCTCACATCAGTCTAACACAGTATACGTTGAGGTAAACAGCTCTCCTGATATGCTTTGGATTATTTCACAAATTCTACCCCACTTTGCTTTGCTTTTTGCTTAAAAAAAAAGGTACTCACAATATTATGTTTAGTTGAGATGGTGTGTTTCTTCTGTTGATTGTTTCCTGCAGTTACAATCACAAACAACTACTTACTGGACAGTGTTGAAATAACAAGAGTGACATATTAGAAACAGACCTAGAATTTTGCACTACTGAGCGGTAGCCACAGTATGTGAAGCGCATCCACTTAATAAACAATTATTAATTAATTGATAGTTACACACTTAAGAATGTTCTGTTTTATAATAATAGCTTAACAACCATGCATAACAAAAGGGAGAAACAAATACTTTGTTCAGTTCATATTTTAGTTCAACCTAGAATTTTAGTTTATCATTCTTTCTGCCATTATTTGATCCGTGCATTCAAAATCGAGCCTGAGGTAAAAATTGTTTCATGTAATCATTTGACTTGGTTTTTGCCACAATAGCAAAACCATATGCATGTGTTGAAATGAAACTGATGGTAATGGATCATTCATAATCATTTGCAGATGTCTTACTGAGAGAGGAGGCGGGCACTTATCTGGTTCACATTTTGAAACTAACCAGCCTAATTCACACTATACAAACTACAACACAAACAGGAACGCTATTAAGCCTCTATTGTTCCATCAATGTTGTGATACTCTTCTCTGAGCTTTATTTCAAAAAGTTATACATTAGAGAACTTTGCTTAGAAAAATATATATATATACATTCAAGGAAATGGATATAAAAGGAGTACAGATTTCTGTGCACTGTGTATATTATTACTATTGTTGTTGTTGTTGTTGCTGTTGCTGTTGCTGTTGTTGTTGTTGTTAACAACAACAACAACAACAACAACAACAACAACAATAATAATAAAACAACTTGCAGAAGGAGTTATTCTAGACTCAAAGGCTGTGTACCAGAATGAGAAAAATCCCTAACTATGAACCAGATCAGATTGAGTTGGACTGATTTTTACGAGAGGTGGTGGAAAGGCCAGATCGGCTACTGAGGTGAAATAAAGTAAACTGGAAAATCATTTTGTATCCAGAGCACAGATTGGAGAAGATGTGGTACAAATGGCTTCAACCATTTTAGTTTTTCTAAACCAACAAACTCTAATGGCATCTACTATGCAAACTCATGAAGCTAGCTAGCTGAAATTTGGCAGGCCTATGTCTTTAATCCATGAGGCGTCTTTGTGATGTCTGGTTGGGCTTTCCCACATTTCTTTTCAAAAATTTAGAGCATTATCTTTACATGGGCCTAATTTACTATGCATTTTCTCCTAGTGATGTATAGAACAATAGTTGATTATTTTGAAATTGCGTGTTTTTTCTATATTGTTTCAAGCTTCATCATATCTTTCAGTTTTCTTTGCTGTAGCCACTGCTTTAATCCTTCCATAGTTTCAATGATTGTTTTTCTTTCTAGATCATTTATTCAAAGACAAATTTTCCATTTTGGAGTGCCAGGAGTTTTCTTTTCTTTTCTTTTTTTGGGGGGTGGTGGCGGCGGCAACTTGTAACCAAGTTCCATGGTTATTATGGTAGCTGTGTTATACATGAGCTTGTTTGTTTCATTTAGCATGTTGGTTGGGATTGTTCTGATGACTACATTTGCACCACTCAGTAGATCTTTTACTGGTTTACTTTGTAACTCGTGCAAATGGGGGAGCCTTTGACTTTCTGTGTTCTGGCCTAATATGAGTTACTATTTTTTCCCCTCAGTGATGTTTACTGTTCTGTCAACTCATAATTTCTGAGTTGTTCCTCTATTGATATATTTTTTTCAACTACCATGTCTACCTCTAGACTCTATTTGTCTTCCATACTATGGTCATTGTTCTGTGCTGATTTTTCTTTTGCCACCTTTTCTAGTTCTCACAATGCGAGTTTCGCAAACACTTTACTACAGGTGATAATTTAGCCACGCTGGCCACGTGAGCACAGAAACTGTCTTCGGACAAACGCTGGCTCTATGGCTTGGAAACAGGGATGAGCACCGCCCCCGAGAGTCGGACACGACTGGACGTAATGTCAAGGGGAACCTTTACCTTTACCTTACAGGTGATAAACCTTCTCTGGTCCATTAATTGTTGTTCAGTCATTATGTCACTGTTGGGTGTTTCCTTTTCCAAATTTCCCTCATTCGTTTTTTAAAACCACAGGCTATAGGGTTTGCCTCACAATAACATTTAATAATTTCTTGATTTTTGGCAAGAGTCCAAGTTTTGCATTGACATTGTTCCAGTAGCTTTGCAGCAGCCCGTCCTAGTTCCTCAACAGGGTCTGCTGAGACCTATAGCCCATTTTTCACCAATGCCCAGGGGCTATAGCATCTGACGCAGTCCTTGTTGAACCGGGCCATGACCAATTTGATATGGATTTCTTCTTTATTTCCTCTCATCATAACTGATAGCTGGTGGACACAATTGGTCCGGCTTCTCAGCTGAGACCTGTCTGGTTTGGGAGACCCTTCAGCATAGCTCTTAACCTCACTGAAGCACGCAAGCCCACTCCACCTCAACAAGGCCTGTGGCCATGGAAGGGATGATGATGATGATAAAATACCATACACAGGCAATCCAAATTATAAAAAAAATTGCTTGGTATTATATAACAGATACAAGTTTTACCAACAAAAAAATCTAAGTATCTGTTAAATACCAGCTAAGTATATATGCTGTTCCTAATACTGCTGTTTTTTTTGTAGCTCTGATGGTTTGATTTCTGAGATCTGCAACTGCTTATAATACTGTGTGAAATTTCTAGACATTGTTCCCAAAGCCCCAGTAACTACAGGGACCACTATTTTTTTCCCAGAAGGGAGAAGTTTGGATTGCCAGATTGTTGTATTTTGTTAATTTTTCCAATTCTTTATTTTCAACTCAGGCATCACCTGGAAATACAGTGGTGCCTTGCTTAACAGCGATAATCCGTTCCAGGAAAATCACCGTTAAGCGAAAACATTGTAAAGCGGAAAAAAACAACCCATTGAAACGCATTTAAACCCCTTCAATGCGTTCCAATGGGGTCAAAACTCACTGTCCAGCAAAGATCCTCCATAGGGCAACCATTTTCGCTGCCTGTCTTGCGAGGAATCCGTCCCTAAACACATAGGGGGGAGCCATTTTATTTACCCGGTGGCCATTTTGAAACCGCCGATCAGCTGTTGGAAAATCATCGTTTTGCGAAGAATCAGTGCCCGAAGCAGGGAACCAATCATCGCAAAGTGAAATTCCCCCATAGGAAACATCGTTATGCGATCGCAAAAAGTTCATCGTAATGCAATTTCGTTGTTAAACGAAGCAATCGTAATGCGAGGCACCACTGTACATAAATAATAAATAAACTTGAAATGTCTTCACTTTGCTTCCACAGTTTGGAGAAAGGGTAGTTACCACATTGACTTTTATTCCAATCTCTTCCTCAGAAGTTAATCCTTTATTTCAGGAAAATAATCTTAGCTTTAGGCCCAAAACATTAAGTAGCCTTTGTCTAGGCGTACATCTACTGTATACAGTTAGAGCTGTTTCTTAACAATCATGACTCCATCCTGAAGAAGAATTCTGTCATCTGCAGTTTGGTCAGGTATTTTGAATTTTCTGCTAGACAGGCCCAGCCCTGTAGTTCAAGAGAGTGTACAGGAGCTCTCTAGCAGAGAATCTTAGGTAGTTCACAGAACTGTAAATCCCAGGATTGCTTAGGATGAAGCCTTAACAAAATGGTATCAAATTGCTACTACTGTAAAAGGCAGATCAACTTGGTGAGCTTGGATAGGAAGATTTGGGGGAAATGCACTTAATAAAAGGTGTCTGTCTTGCTTTAGTGGTGCTCTTGTGAGCCAGAAAATGCTTAGCATCTCTGCCTAGACTTATGGTTGCTACTACTGAATCAACAGGCTGAAGGAAATCTAACGTACAAAGCAAGCCTATAGACTTCTTACTTCAACAAATAATGTAGAAGGAAAATTGACTTGAGAACCGCCTTTCAATACGGATTAAGTTCTCAAGTCAAGACCCCACTGTATGTCTGGTGTGTTATGTTCAAGGTGTTTATCCATTTGGATCCAGAAATCCCTTCGTCATTTTCTGACACCTTCTCTACCTGATGTTCCCATGGGTTTTTGGAGGTTGACAAGTTGTTGTTATAAAGCATGCCTTTCAGTTTGCCAATGTAAGTTATTTAGCAGTTTAGAAGAAAGTATTGTTTTTAAAGAAGGACATCAGCTTACGTTTCTTTCGCAATAAAAATACCACCACAATCACCAGCACAAGAAGTATAATCACACCTATAATTATGAAGTGTTGGCGTGACTCTCCTGTTAAGAAAAACAATGTAATGTTTTATACAAGACTAAAAGCGAGCTAACAAATGCACCATAAACAATGCAGGTATAACTGACTGGTACAAGTGCAAACACAAAACTTTCAAAGTGATAATACTTAGCAGTGTATTCCCATGATTGCTTCAGAACATGTCCAGATTGGCCCTTTTGGTTATGGGCCAGTGCAGTCCAAATAGGGTTGGTTGAAGTTGGGGGAAGCAGTGACAGGCCATTTAGTGTGATCATCACATGGCATATCAGCCTCAAACAACCCTATTTGTGGTGTCCTGAAGTAGCAAGTTTGTGAAAAGCTGGAGTTTAGGAAAAAGAAAAGGGGTGGATGAATTCAAGTACAGCTGAGAAGGGCAGGCAGCACATGCGGAGAAAGAGAGAGGCAAGCTAGGCATGGAGGCACAAGGAAAGAAAACAGCCAATCATTGGCCAAAAGCAGACAGATACACAACTGGGAAGACAAACATTGTGCAAAGAAATACAGTGGTGCCCCGCATGATGACGATAATCCGTCCCAGGAAAATCGCTGTTAAGCGTAATCGTTGTCATGCGAAAAGCCTTTCCTCATTGGAATGCATTGAAACCTGGTTTAATGCATTCCAATGGGGAAATTACCTCGTCGTCCAGTGAAGATCCTCTATAGGGAAGCCATTTTGAGAGTGCTGATCATCTGTTAAAATGGCTGTCCTGCGAAGCATGGGTCTGGAAAACGCAGGGCAGCCATTTTAGGAACCCAACGATCACCTGTAAAGATCGTCGTCTTGTGAACAAAGGGTTCACGAAGCAAGGACCTAATCGACGTCCAGTGAAAAAATCCTATAGCAAACATTGTTTTGGTCACCATCCTGCGGATTCATCATATAGCGGGGTCATCGTCATGCGAGGTACCACTGTATTACAGTCATCTCTGATCCCAGGGCTGAGATCTGGTGAAGGCTTTGCTTCTGAGGAACAAGCCAGGATAGTGATTTTCACCAAATTTCCCTTTTTTCCTTGGACCCCCCAAGTACCCCCAAGTATCTCCAGAGGATTCCTCCAGAACAGTGTAGGAAGTAGCACAAGAGATTGTGGGAGGAGGAGTAATTTGCTTCACTCCACCCCTTCCTCCATTGTTATTGGAATTCCCTGAAGGGCATATCTGGACCCAAGCCTGTACCATACATTCTTACGAAGAGACTCGTGGCGCAGTGGTTAAACCACTGTACTGCAGCCAAAAAACTGTGCTCACGACCTGGGGTTCAATCCCAGGTAATCAGCTCAAGGTTGACTCAGCCTTCTATCCTTCCAAGGTCGGTAAAATGAGAACCCACATCGTTGGGGGGGGGGGCAAGGTGTAGCCTGCATAATTAACTTGTAAACCGCCCAGAGAGTGCTTGAAGCACTATGGGGCGGTATATAAGCAGCACGCTTTGCAGCACACTTTTTGGGCACCCACTCATGATCACTACATTTCAAGTGTCCTTGTTCACTGAACAGAGGGGTATACTTCAGATCAGGAGAGAGATGACATGTGACACATACGGCCTGTGGCTAAACACACAGACAGGTGGATGCAAAAGTGTGGTTCCCATAGGATGAAAACAGTTCTGCAAACATGACCTCCTTCAGCTCCAATTTTACATGATCCCCGTGAAATCACTTCCTTACTCAAGACACATTTTAGACCAAAGTCAAAGATTTTGATAGTTACCTGTCTCTTCACACTTGGTGTTCTTCGTGTCCGTGCAGGGTTCTAAAACTCTGCCATTTGCACAGCTGTCAAAATAAGAAAATAATTAGATGGTTTGCTAAAGAATCACAGACAAATATCTGCCCCTCCATGTCACTGGCTGAATTCTTCTAGTTGCAGTAATAAGCTGCAACTGGAGTAGGCCCACTGAACCAATGGAATTTACAGGAGGTGACTCACCAAATTCCCACTGATCAATGGCCCACTCTAGTTGTGACTTACTACTGGATTTCAGCCATTATGATTTAATTTTTAAGTTCATTTCTGGAAAAATATCCCTTACCTATTCCATTAGCAGTGTTCGGTCTGGCTGGAAACACCGAAAACTGTGCTTGCACCCCAAATCTACATTTTTAGTTTATATGTATCATGCAGCTACATTAATAATTTTTGTCTTATCAAAAATTAAATCTAGGGGGGTATTTAGGTTTAATGGGGAAGGACTAGATAATGGATTACATTGTCCTTAATGTCTGCTCAAAAGTTCCAAACTCTGGGTGTCTAGTGACAAGACACTTGCCAAGTTTTCATCACTTTTTAAGCTGGCTGGATAGCTTGGTGAGCTGGAGTACCCAGGGGCTTTTCAGGAGAATTGCTGTGTGGTCTTCTGCAACTTCCCAGAGCATCTCCAGATGAAACCACTTCTGAGTACTCTGTCCCTCCCCCCCCAAAAAAAAAACCCTAGAAAGGCTCACTGTAAATTGGGATGTAATTATTATTTTAACTGCCTCAAATGAAGATGAGTTCAGCACCCTTACAGAACTTGCAACAGATAACATGGTGGGATAGTAAGGGTGCTATTCCCGTTGCCTGTTGCTACCTGCCAGCAGTCTTCTGGATCACTGTGGGCTGTAGGGCATCAAGACCTGTGCCTTGGTTGGGCCCATGGGCAATCTAGACATGATATTGAATATGCCTTTTGCTACCATAAGCAATTAGGAGAGATATGGCACACAGGTCCTTTCAGGTCTTTACTCCCTCCGTGTGAATGCTGCCAAGCATAAAAACCAAGGATTCAGTGCTTTGTACTAGTATTTTAATGAACTGCAAATTCTTGACCTGAAAACAGTTTGAGCATGAATACTATCACTGAGTGCAAAATTATAACCCTCATCACCCAAGCTGTCAATGTAAGGCATTGTCAGTATAATCAGATGTGACAAACTAAATAATATTCTAAAATAAGGTCATTATGTACAGATGAGGCAGTCCACCTAGTTATTTTTTATGCCTCTTTCACAGGCTTCTACTACTCATAATGGAGTTTCCACATTTTTAATGATTCCAAAAGTGCTGAGGGTGCATCTTCTTCCTAAAGATGTACTGCTCAAAAAAGCATCCTCAAGGAATGGATTTAAATAGTCCAAAGCATGGCAACAGAGAAATACATATATTCTCAAAGGGCGCCACCTGGTGTCAGGAAAAGATTGTGCATTGCTTTTCCTCTGGGAGAGCTCGGAGCCAGTAGCTGTGTTATTGGAACAAAAAAAGAAAAGCACCAAAAATTACATTGCAGCAAAAGGATCAAAGAATGTTCTGGCACCTGAATGACTAACATTTTTTTAATCTGGCATGAGTTTCCACGTATTCCAAGCCTGCTTTTTCAGATGCCTCTAGAACAGCGGTTTTAAAAGGCAAGGGCCACAAACTATCATCTGGGGGGCCGCAAATGGCGCCCTGGCCGCATGTTTGAGACCCCTGCTCTAGAAGAAGATACACCTGCCAAAGCAGGCTACTGTTTGTGAAAGCTTATGCCAACTAAAAGTTTATAATTGTTAAGGTGTCAAAAATTCCTTGTTGTTTGCAGCAGGAAAGTGAACTGAAATGAGACTCTCTTAATATATATTATACTGCTTTTCTTCCAGATGGATGTCTTTGACTTTTGGACTTCCCTCAAGGACTGATTTGTGACTTGCACAACAGTTTAGATCATAACGCGAAGGGTCTCATTCATTTCTTTAGGGACAGGGGTCTAATTTCTGCTCAGATAATTCTGTCACTGAAAACTCTTTGACCCCCCCCCCCCCACTGCCTGCTTATTCACCACAAAATCTTGTGTGGTTACTGCAGGTAACTTTTCATATCTGCCTTCTATGGCCCAGGAAGCCTCTTACTTTCTGTAGCAGGTCGAAGCACTTCCGGAAGGAAACCATTTTTCCTGTTACACTGTCACAAAGAAATAGCTGCGTGGTACGTTTACATAACCATGTTTCACAGTTTAAGTCTACAGTGACATGAAGCTGACATCACCTGCTGACATAAGGACCAGACCTGTGTGTTCTCATCTCTAAGTACTAGGCATGAGCAGAAGGCAGTATTTGAATCTGAGTTTTTGCAGTGTGTGTTTGTATTCAGATACTTGGATATCTAAAAGCAAATATGGATACAAACACCAGATACACCGCTCTTTTAACATGCTTCTATGGCCTCTTTTGCCATTTGCATTCATCAAAGAAATAAGTATTAGGAACTACCAACAGAAGCAAAAGAAATCTTGGGACAGGCCACATTACTCACTGGGGCTACTTGCTACCACTCCACTGAATTTGCGGCTTGAATTCTGTCAGCAACTGAGATGAATAACGATCAATTCACCCATTCTTTTCCCATGGATCTCTTTTTGGGGTAAACACCACTGCTCAGATTATTGGATGAAGCAAGGTTAGCATAAACCCTAAAACGTTAATGAAGAACGCTGCCTAGGCCACCTAAACTGAGAGTAGATTCCCAGGTTCCAGTGTGAGATCTGTTTCAGAGATGCTTGGGTTATATATAAGAATAAAAATACTATTTTTGCTGAACACCTTGTTCTCTTTGATTCCGGCTGATTCAGCACAGTAAGGCATCTGAACAAGGAACTTCTTCATGGGATTCATTTTCTCCAGTGCAAGAGCGAGACTGGGGCAGATCCCCTCCCCGATCAAGGTCTGTCCCAGCCCCGGATTAACCATTAAGCAAAATAAGCATGTGCTTAGGGCATCAATAAGGGAAGAGGACACCACAGAGGTTTTTTTCAGTGCCAGTATTACCATGGACCATGATCCAAAGGGTGCATCCTCCTTAACAAACCGCATCCATCCATCCGCTCTCTCTCTCTTTCTCCCTCCCTCTCTCAAGAGCCCCAAGAAAACCCTTCCCCTACCTAAAACAACGGGACGTGGTGGCGCTGCAGGCTAAACCGCAGAAGCCTGTGCTGCAGGGTCAGAAGACCAAGCAGTCGTAAGATCGAATCCACGCGATGGAGTGAGCGCCCGTCGTTTGTCGCAGCTCCTGCCAACCTAGTGGTTCGAAAGCATGCAAATGCAAGTAGATCAATAGGGACCACCTCGGTGGGAAGGTAACAGCGTTTCGTGTCTAAGTCGCACTGGCCATGTGACCACAGAAGATTGTCTTCGGACAAACGCTGGCTCAATGGCTTGGAAACGGGGATGAGCACCGCCCCCTAGAGTCGAACACGACTGGACAAAAATTATCAAGGGGAACCTTTACCTTTACCTTTACCTAAAACAACTGAATATGAACCAGTAAAAACTAAAGGGCATAAAGATTCACCTAGCGAGAAAACTCATGGTTTGAGTGAAATGATCACCCATCATCATCATCATCATCATCATCATCATCATCATCATCATCATCTCCTGATTTTTTTTTTTTACTTCTGTATTTTGGGAGGTTGGGTGGGGATGAGAATAAAATGAGCGGGAATGAGCGGGTGGTCTTTTAGACCTCTGGCCTCTGCACTATACGTGCAAGCCAAAGAAATAACAGTCACTGTTAAAAATGCCCCCAAAGGTGTTTTAAGCTCTTGTTTGAGCTCTTCAGTTTACAGATTTTGACAAAATCTCGTCTACATTAATCAAAGTGTGAAAGTGCAAGATTTGGCTGAAGCTGGTAATTGGACCGACGTATGATTTTGCACATGATACATGGTTCTTTTTTGTCACATGCTATGTTCTTAAACTACTGTATTTTTATGTATATAATGTGCTCATTATATGGTTCTTTTTCCAAGCAGTGGGACCTGCTATGCGTTATATTCGTAGGGGGCACCATAATCTTTTCACTTCTTACAGTTTCTAAAGGTCTTAATCTGGTCCTTCTTTGTGCAATACGTGACTCTGGCAATCTGTCTGCAAAAGACATGGCAAGCACAGAATAACTGGCTGACTTCCTAACATAACTGAAACTACTAACTAAAAGTCCAGGCAACAAGGCAGCTGCTACTGTAGTTTCACAGTTTGCTCAAGTTATGCAAACGGTGCAAAAATTGTCAAGAAGACACATCTTGGCCTGTTGCAGGGCAAGGAGATTTTTTTTTTTTTTTTGCAGTTCCTTGCCATCATTTGCGAGGACAAGGCCAAGCAAAAAAGTACTCCGTTTTTTCCCTTCATTTTTCATTCAAATCCTATTTAACTTTTAGGTCTTAGTAATGGTACATACCTATCACATGGAGCACAATGATGGCATGGTGCAGAATCACAAAAGAAGTCAGTTTTACATTTACATTTTGTATTCTGGTTGATGGTACAATTGTTCTCTATTTCCATACCTAAAATAGATTAAAATATTTTGTAAAATATTTCTTGGAGAAGACCTAGTTGTTGTTTTTTAAACCAAGTTTTGGAGATCCTTCAAGAAAAAGCAAACACTCTGCCTTGTCAGATAGGAAAAGATCAAGACTTATTTTTCACTATTCCAGAAGGAAAGACTAGATCTTGCATGCTTTTGCTGAACATTATGAGAAACATTTGGAGGTTAACAGAGTATGAAAGTGGAACCTAGTGAGTGATATGTTTGTCACAAAGTGTTTTAAAACATATGCTTTTTAGCCATCCGGGGATGTGGGACTCTCGATTTCCTGCATCAAACAGGGAACTGGAAGAGAAAGCGTATGAGAACTCCTTCAGATCTACAACTCTACTACTTCTGAAGGATGCATGAAATCCAGGGTGGGTTGAGGACAGGCTCAGGTGCTTTAAATTTCACTCAGGTAAGTGACAATGCAAGAATCCTCACTTTTCTCAAGAATACTTTTCTTCTGTTCTGTTGTGCTGTCTGTGTCTATATATATATTCACCAGAATAACATACATAAGTGCATTAAAGCGAAGCACGTGCTGCTTATGTATCACCCCATAGTGCTGAAAGTACTCTCTGGGTGATTTACAATTTAATTATGTAGGCTACACATTCCATGCACCCCCAGTGAGTTGGGTACTCAATTTACCAACCTTGGAAAGATAGAAGGCTGAGTCAACTTCAAGCCAGCTACCTGAGCCCATGATTGATCTCAAGTTGTGAGCAGAGTCTTCACTGCAGGACTGCAATTCAACCACTGCATCACATTTTTTCTGTAGAGCTCTCTAAACAGTGAGGACAACCTTGATTTCCCCCTCCTATATGGAAAGCCATATGTACACACATTTTGGCAAAAAATAACCCTTTTCACACTGAACCAATACTGACAGTGCATCGCCAGGAGTGTGGACAATATACATATTGGCATCTGTGCATGGGGCTGGTCTATATGCTTTGGAAAGCCCCTTCGGGATGTAAAGCTTCATGATCTTCTTCTTGGGGTGAGCTTTATCGTTCCTATTATTGCAATAATGTTGCCAATGAGAATACTAATAACCTTGGGATGAGCTTTATCGTTGCTATTATTGTAATAATGTTGCCAATGAGAATACTAATAACGATAATACAGTGGTTTAGTGGTTAAGAGACTACTGCAGTGAAGATTCTGCTCATGGCCTGAGTTCGATCTGGGCTCAGGTAGCTGATTTGAGGTTGATTCAACCTTCCATCCTTCTTAGGTCGGTAAACTTAGTAACGAGCTTGTTGGGGTGGCAATGTGTAGCCTGCATAATTTAAATTGTAAACTGTTCAGAGAGTGCTTTAAGCAGCATATAAGCAACAGACTTTGCTTTGGTTTTTAAAATAAACTTTAGAGCTCATCATCATCCAACACGCTAATATAGAGAACCTCCATAGGCTACTAATGAGAATCCGATGTAGTGGATTAACCTGAACAAAAAATGCTCAAGCCTAGCCACCCTGTGAATATAGTAACCCACATGGTGACTTCAGCCCAGATCTCCCCATTCCAGCACTCTCACCACTATCCGTGCCAAGTATTAGTGACAGCATATGTCCTGAAATATCATTATCCTTGTGACACCCAGTACATGGACATGCTGGGAAATGTAGCAGAAGGTCTTCAATTTGCCATTTGTCTTTGGTAAGACACTTAACAACTGAGTGACAAGCAAAGCTTTGCTCTCTGGACTTCTCTTTCTCTTAACCAATTGAGCTGTTCTTACTCTTTCACGTCTTTTAGCTATTCCAAATTAACACAGAAAATATACATTAAATGCAGTGAGGCTAAGAGCCATGCGCTTCCAAGAATAAAAATGCAGAAACTGAGATCTACCTTTTAGCATCATGAATTTCCACAATTCTTGGCACAAGAGTGGTGCGGTGCTTGGTTATGTTTAAATATAGTAGGTAAAGTGGTGCCTCACTTGGTGAGGCTAATTCATTCCGTTCAAATCGCTGTTAAGCGAAATCCTCGTCAAGCGAAATTGAAAAACCCATTGAAATGCATTGAAAACCGGTTCAATGCGTTCCAGTGGGCGAAATACCTCCTTGTTTTGCGAAAATCCTCCATAGGGCGGCCCTTTTCTGGTGCCTGTAAAGCGAGGAATCTGTCCTAAAGCACAGCAGGGAGCCATTTTGCAATAGAGATCACAAAAACTTTATCGTAAAGCAGTTTCATTGTTTAACAAGGTAATCATTAAGTGAGGCACCACTGTATTGATTGTTTGGCTTGGTGAATATGTGTTGGGAGAGGGCGGAAAGGAAGCATGGAATGTAGGCAATGATTCTGAGTGGAGTGTTTGGTGAGGCTTTTGAGTAGTCTGGGTGCAGAGAGATCAAGGAGAGGGTGATCAAAGAGAAAGACAGGAAATAAGTGAAGATTGTTAAAGATAACGTGTATTCCTTGTGGTGACTTAAAGAGTCTATTATGTAAACAGAAAAGTGATCAGACAAAGGGAGTTTTGACATCAGTATATGAGAGATGGGTGCAGCAGGTGGGATTCAATAAATTCTGTTTTTGAGATAATGCCACTTTCATATAAGCTATAGTCTGTACACGGCCCTATTGTGGTGCATGGCTTCTGGTCTGCAGCTAACAAGCAAAGGATGGAGATAGGCTTAGCACTGTGATACAGCTCAGCTCATTGGCTGCCCCTTCCCTGCAATAATCTAGCCCAAACTGACTATAAAATGCTGCTCTGTGAGCAATGTGTGGTACCATGCCTCTGAAGCCACAAATTAGGCTTTCTGCAAAATACAGCTGTCATGTTTTCTGTTGTGCAGATATAGTAATGTTGTAACAAAAAGTTATAGATGCCAAACATACCATGTTGTTCATCGCAACCACGGCATCGCAGACATTTTGTATTATAATTGTAATGATCCATGTACTCTTTCCCCAGTGTACACTTTTTACAACTGGTTTTAGGATTTTCCTTTGTGCAGCCAACATTTTCAGCAACATAACCTGTTAGAAAAGAAAAGAAGCATGAGGCCAATATAATCCTCTTCAGTATTCCAGATGTTTAGGAAAATCATTTTGGCAGGAAAACAAACACTGCTAAGTTAAAATAGGTGTCTACAGTATTTACATATCATTCAAAAATGTGTCAGGCTGAACTTGAACAGCCCCTCTCAAACAGTTTTCCTTTTACATGAACATATAAAGATACCACAGAAGACTGAACAGATTTTTCATTAGCAGATTTAAAGGAGAGAAGCCTAAATATTTAAGAACTAGGTGAGTTTGGACACATTTATGATGATAATAATAACCTTGGAACTGCAGAATTGGAAGGGACCCTATGAATCATCAAGTACAGCCCCTCTCAAGGAGGCACTATGGGGAATCGAACTCCCAACCTCTGGCTCCACAGCCAGAGACCTAAGCCAGTGGAGCAGTGAGCTATAAAAAGGGGGTTTCCCATGACCTTTCCCCCATACTGTAATCCTGCTTTTTCTTGTTGTTGATTGCAGCAGTCTTTTTGTTCCGTTAGTGCCAGCTGCTGTATTTTGTCTACCCTTGACTGATCCCAACCTATTAGTTGCCACATAGCCTACCTCTTGTTTCACTTGCTCATTTGGTGACATTACTGATGCATTGCCTTTATTCAGCAATGGATACTGATGCATTGCCCATATCCAGCAATGGATATGGGCTGAATCGATCCTTTCTATCCTGCCGTGACACAGTGTGCTGTGAGAGCTTCTTGGAGCTTGGGATAAACTACCCATTTTTACCTAGTTAGGCTAATCTATTTCTGGTTTTGTGTGCGTGCGTGCGTATGTCTGTGTGTTTGTAGTTCGCATTCCCTGAAGGGTCCTGGAGATAATAAAAGCCTACATACAGTCATTTCATGACAGGCAGGGGAATTTTGAGCATGTTTTGGCAACGGTAACAAGAGATATTAATATTTTCACTTCTCAGTCCATATTTTAAGAAGAAAAACAGGTGCACGTCAAGGTTATGTTCGCTTTCTAAGCCTATAAAAGAGCACCTACTGAATGTTTCAAATACTGTATCACAATGCTACATAGTCATTATGGACAAATAAAGCTCCCCTAGACTAAACTGATAATAAACATAGCCTGCAATTAGAGGTGAAAGCAGATTAATGTTGCATAGAGGTTACGGTCTGCCCATGTTTCCAAAATCATGCTTAAGTCTGAGATCAATTGCCAAATGAAGCAAGCTAATTTATATATTTATATAATCCCAGAGGCGAGTGAAGTTTATGCTGTGACAATCACTTTAGTAAAGAATTTCCCTTTTCCAATCACACGCTTTCTCTAACATCTGTTTTTGGTCCCACTGGCCTCATTTTAATCCTATGGGGAGCACACATCCCTGTTTCCAGGCAACTGGATGAACACCCCCTGACCAGTCATGCTATATGAGCTATTTCATTGCTCACTAGTGATGTGTGGCAAGATTTTATTTATTTATTTATTTATTTGATTTATACCCCGCCCATCTGGTCTAAAAGATTTTCTACCCTTATCTAACTCTGGTTGCACACATTTTTAATGTGGCCCTAAATGTGTATCCCACTGAAACTCAGGAAGGTATGGAAGCCAATTATTTAGTGGGATGTGCATTCAGACGGGACTCCAAAAATACATCCCCATGATCTCTATTCCACTCCAACTGGTTGACTACATATATCTGGATAAAGACCCGAGAGGGTCTTCTTGGCTTCCTTGAAAACGGAGACCAACCTCCTCTACTCCAGCATGCTCTGCCATGTGACCACTGTCCGATCCTTCAGAAATGAGGGGGGAAATTACTGAAAAGGGTCAGTATTTTATAGGATTAAAATAATAAGACTTGGTTGCATTTTGGCTGCACATGCTGACCACAATCTCTTCTTTTACTCATGGTAATACCTACCAGGCGGACAAGACTCACAGCAAAGGACACCAAGAGATGTATTGAATAGATATTCTGTGTTTTCATGACAGCTAATAAGGTTCCGCTTAGAAACGTGTTTCACAGCAGTAAGCTTATTATACACACGGTGTATTCTAGGTACAGAATCATTGTTATGTGATGGTCCCGTAGCAGTGAGGCCACATGCCTATGGTCAAGAGGAAGAAAAGAAAAAAAAAGTGAAAATACTGAACTGCAATGTGTTATGAGTACAGTATACCATTTCATCTTTGAGGCGGTACCACAGCTTCCGTCTAAAACTATAAACCTTTACTTTACTTTTACTTCTTTATATAAGATATCATACCCACGTATACCACGTCATCAGTGCTATGACATATGATTTATGCCGCGCCACCAAGAACATTGTGACTTTTAGAAGAGCACTGTGGCAGTGTTACAGAAGCAGTGTGTGAAGGAACGCTGGCTTATCTGCCTGTGTTAGTGACAGGGACAATCCAAAGGTAAATGGCAACCGCAAACTTCGTGGAAGGATTTGGGGCTGCTTGTCATTTGAGGAGGGTGGCACTCGGAGGTAGAGATGTTATGGGGAGCCACCTCAGGCCTCAAGAGGACTTCTGTTTTCCCAAGATGGCAGCAGGAGCTTAATTCCTTTTTAAGGCCCATTTTCCATACAGAAACTAGAATAGGTCCAGATATGAAATGACGAGGGAGCCAATATGTTTTTGAAACTAACTCTATTTTGCATATGTCCAAAATGTGACACAGGCTTTGCAGTAGGTTTCCAGTTGTCATGAGCTGAAGGAAAAAAACTAAATGCCACCTTCATAAAATGAGACATCTCAGCTTTTTCTATGGTACACAAACATTTTATCAACCTGTCACAAGGAAGGAATTATACACTTTGGCAAAATGCATTTGGCATTTTAATATAGCCATTTTGAGCACTCTGTTTCTCTCCTGCTGTTGTTTATGGCTCACATTCACCCACTTTGACTCTGTGAATCTTTCCCAAATTGCTTCCCGGGGCAAAGTTTGAAGGACCTCAAAGAAGGGGATGGGGGAGAGAAGCAGAAAAAAAAAAAAAGACAGGCACACACCCACTTTCAAAATTCATTCTCTTAAGAAAACAAAGATCCTACACAGACAGTCAATACAGAACTGGGGTTTTGCCCAGACATGTCTCTTGTGGTTAGCACTGTTAGAAATAAAGAAAACTGAAGCTCTTAATACATTCTGTCCATAACTGATTTCTCAAAATCTACAACAGTGGTTCTTAACCTTTTTGAAAGAAATGCCCCCTTGAGCCATTGAGGAAGTTAGCATCGCCCCCCTCCCCCATGGTGATGATATCTTATTTATTTATTTATTTATTTATTTATTTATTTATTTATTTATTTATTTATTTATTTATTTATTTATTTATTTATTTA